TTCATTCCTCATAAATTTCACATGGCCTGCCTATGGGTTCTGGCTCATTCGAAAAGAAAATTGACGCTTACGGGAAGGCAACTCTGCATTTATACTCAGCGAAGATCGGTTGCAGCCAACATCACCGGCTGCAAGGTTTCCGCAAGCAACAAACGCCTTCGCTCTAAGCAAGTGCTGGGGATAGGGTAAGTATCTGATCGGGTGTGGGCAGCATTCGTTCATGTCAGATTTCCAGACCGCTCTCACCAATCCATGTTGTACTTCCATTTCGGTTGTCACTCTCACATGACTAGGTAGTGATCGAGTATGATGAGAAAGATGCTCGGATGAGTGTATGGTGAGGAAGTCAAAAAGAGCGAGTGAAGCATGAGTGACTGGGCTGGATATGTCGGCTCTCCGGGCAGGTATAAACGGATAAATGGAACGCCACCCAACAATTTCAGGTTGGTCTGGTGAATTTATGCAGTAATAAGAGGTGCTACTATGTGGTAAGACTGAACATGGAACACTCCTCTTCAGTCTTACCGCATAGCAGGATATTCCTCTTAGAAAATGGATCGATCAGATTCCATCAGTGGGCAAACAATCGAGGAAAAAATGAAATGGCACGAGAGAGCTCTTACGAATAATTTAGTTATCAAAATGAAACAACTCGGACCTAAAGTGCATATATCCCGCGATGAATGTATAATGTATAGCTAGGCAAACCTAAGTGTACGCGAAAGACGGACAGATTGACCAAGACTGAAAGTGAATACGGTATGAGGGCTACAGGGCGAGTACTGTACTCCAACAAGACACCCAGATGACGGTGCATCTGCTTGTGCAGCTGCTATTGATCGATATCGGCCATCTGATCGTCCGGTTGTATCTGTTTGCAGTACTGGAATAGTATCTTCTGATAGTACTCGCGTGGTGTGAGCGTACGAGCCGTTGAGCACCTGAAAAGTGATGGAGCGCATTATGGGTGCTTTAAAACTGCTGGTTATTTCCGTTTGCTCTCTTCCACCACCATAAGTGGACCAAAAGTAAAATTGATTTGTGGATGGGTTGCGATCTGACCAGACGAGAATGGCAAACTCTGATACCCGACAGAAAATCTGTCGCGCAACGAGAAGGCAGAGACGCAGACAGGCGCGGACGAGCTGCAGCGCGTACTGCAGCGATTTAGCGTCAAGTTGACGAGGACGTACTATATTACGTCTCACATGCACAATACGCGCTGCAACCCGTCCCCCGCCCCGTCTGCGTCTGCGTCTCTGCCTTCCCGCCGAGCGACGGCCTCCTGCCGGGTACCCGCCAAATTATTGTAGTCCCATGTGATCGGTGATTACCCCTAGGAATTTCTAAAGGTAGAAATAATCCTATACCGATACCAATAAAAATCATTATTGCTTACCTGCTAGTATTGAGATCAAGGCTTTCCATGCTGGCAAGAACGCGATCCGAGGCAAACGATGAAGGTTCGTGGCTTTCCATGCTGGCAAGAACGCGATTCCGAGGCAAACGATAAGGTTCGTGGGTGTTCGATCCATTTTGAAGTAGTAGATGTCGGGAGGCACATATGGACGACCGCCTATCCAATTCAGATCAGGCTGACGGCCGTTGATCAGGCAATCAAGCAGATATTCCTAAAACAAACCGTTCATAGGGGTACTCGTCAAGAGTATTTTTACAGGTCAAGGGTGGCAGATGCGTCAAGAACTACGGGACACGCTGGAAACGGTACCGGGAACAGCATCGGTGACAATTTTATCTTTGAAGTAAAGAAGAATCGAGAGATTGTCGACAGCCTCATCAAAAATCTTTTCGATTCAAGGCTGATCACAAATAAGGAAGTAAATACAATGGTGCTATACGAAGTTATTAAAGGAATCTTGCGCGGAAAATTCTTGCACTCTTTCCTAACATGAATATGTCAGTTGTGATCACTGGAAATAGCACACAAAGTTTCACGCATGAAGATTCGGTTTCTGAAGAGAAACAAACGTACAAAAACTACACGTTATGGACCATCGAAGGACCAGGAGGCAGAGCCAGGCGAGGCATGGAAAGAAGACGGCGTTTGGCCGGCTACGTACCAGGCGACGCAATGAGAGAATCGGGTTAAAGCGCGCGATTTCGGAGAGTGGAGACAAATCGATCGATGGAATAGGATGGAGTAGAAGTGTAAGATGTGAATGCAACGAAGCAGAAGGCCAGAAAGAGCTTCTAGTGAATGCACTCCAAGAACCAAGTTTGAGCATCCCCGTCGCCAGCATTCGTGAAAGACGTCCGTGGGCAATTCGAACGCGTAGCAGCCTTTTCGAGTTTTCGAATTTCTAATCAAAACGAAAGCAATACTTCAGTTCTTTTCACTATTATCGTGGATAATGAGTCTCAAGCCAGTGATTTATGGCTGAAATAGAATCATGATTTTTCCGCGCAAGATTCCTTTAATAACATTCAGCGGACGGGCAGGAGCCCGCCATATGGCCTGCAAGAGAATTGCTCGTGGGCTGCCCCGCTCATAATTCTTGTCAGGACGGTGTAGAAATGAAAGATGGGGGTTACATCTCCGAACCGAGTATAAAATCTTTTTCCAATTCCTTGACAGGAGGGAGAATGACATGCTTTGCGATTTCCTACCCCTATTTCGTCGGTCACAAAATCGCGTCTGTCCCTCGCGACGAAAGGTGGAAAAGGTTTGCCGTCGTGATGTGTTAAATGGCAAAACGTTGGCTATCGGGATGGAATAACTCTGGGCGACTGTTTTTCTGTTGATAGTCCATCCATGGTAGGAAAATTGAGCGGAGGTCACATTTTTCGTGTTCCTGATGGACTTCCCGCTTTTTTGCGCCACTGGCGCACCATTTATGCAGCAGCCACTTAACCCCTGAACCTATCTACCCATATTGTACTTTAATTGGAGCCTCTGATGTGAATTGGGTCAGTGATGGTGGTATTTCATATATAGCCCAACATTATCACCGTCCGGATTTAGGATAAACCTTTGCATACTAAGCCAATCAAAAAGGGTTCTTGAAGTCATTCATACTTGGCGCCAACCCCAGGATTAAACTGGTGCTATTAGCGCTTCGTGGTGATAGCTTAGCTGCGACCTGAAAGTGGGAAGGAAAGCAAGAGAAGTTTTGAGAACGCTGAAACTAAGGCTTAACCTTCAGTAAGGTCGGATGTGGTATGATGGCGAGACAGGGCGATCAAAGAAGACGAAAATACGCGAGAGAGCACGCTGATCTCTTTATCAATGCACGCTGACCCACCACCTCTCGCGGTGGCTGGGAAGCGTGTGCGCAGACCCGTAAGGATTAGCGTCCCTAACCGTGCAATTTTAGCGACGAAGCTGAAGTGATCTAGGTAGGTTCGGACTTCCTACTGATCGGGCTAATCCCGGGGTTTGCCTTCAAGCGGTAGCACTACTTGTACGAGATGACAGAAACTAGCAAAACCATCAGATGCTTCCCACTCCCGCGATTTATTCGGAGAGTTCCCAATCGATTCGAGCAGAAATTCACTTTGTTTTTACTGCTTTTGAAGACTTCAAATTTTATGAATATTGAAGACCAGCTGATTGCAATACATTTAAAATGCAACATCATTCTTACCTCTGGTAGTTGCGCTAATTTATTGAGTTGTTCCGGCGTCAAACCATAATTCTTCTGCAAGAATGCCACGTAGCCGAACACCTCACCCAGATGGACGACCTAAGAATAGAAACAGTGGGGGAGAGAAAAAACGAAAAAATAAAAAATCATACACAAAAAATCTCAAAAAGATGTTACACGGGGTTGAAAGAAGACCTGAATAAGCTATGGAAGAAATCTTACCAGAGACGATAAGAATTCTTATAAGAACTGTTTAGAACAGATCACGCCCGGGGTGATAGCGTGGCATTAGTGTGACGTGGGGATCAAAAATAATGAAGCACTGGCTTCAGAGTGTCCCAAAAAATTCTGTGAACTTCGAACATTAGAGCTAAATAAATCGAGTGATTCGAGGAATTGAAATAGACGATGAGAAGAGAAGTTGAGCGTATCTTAAAGGCACAGGGCGGGATCGAACTGGTATGTTATTTTATTCGAAAACTGATAAGAAGTGCGATGAGGAACATCTATGAGGAGAAAAAGCAAAAGCGCCATAGAAAACATTGAATTCCTTTGTGAGGTCGGCCGTGGTACGACGGAGAGACACAGCGCTGCGAGGAGAGGGAAAACGCGAGAGAGCACGTCGTACGCGAGAGGGCGCAAACGCCACGTGTGCCGTGATTGACGCAGCGGCAGCACGGCAGCGTACAAGGGCTTGGGGACCCCTCGGACCGTAGTATTTAGGCCTTGTCAAGCACTAAATAGCTAGAGCCGTATGTCCTGTAAAAATAATGACTTTTACAGTGGATAGCTCGCCTATTACAGTAATTACGAAACGCAGAGAAAAGCTTCCAGAGAAAAAAAAAAAAAAATGAAACGATGTTGAGATAAAAGTTCAAGAGGAAAAGGAATAGCAGAAAGATTAATAATATATTAAATTGTTACCTTTCCGCCAATCGTCATGAACGATCTGCCTAAACTTCGGCCGTAGAAGTGAATATCACGAATGTATTCGCTACCGACGAGATCTGGAAATGTTATGTTTTTCACACTCACTTTTATATGTATTTTTCCACTGACTCAGTATATGCGAAGTAATAAAGTGAATAACGAATAATAATAAAAAAGATTCTACCCTAATTTTCCCGACCTAAGGGAATTGTGCCAGGGACAGAAGTTTTCATGGATCAACATCAGTTCGCATTTTTAATATACGAGTCATGCATCACAAGGAGAGGATTCCGGACCAGCGAAGGATTTGTCACGAATCGCCTTCAACTAGGGGGACCCAGCGGTAACACTTTCGCTGTCTGCATAGTCACGCTTGTTTAGCGATTTTTACACGCTCTCCATAAACGCCATTCCTGCACCTATATCACTTGCCTTGAAACCTGCTGAGCCACAACGTGTGAAGCACAGTTGTGCCAGATGTTCGACTGTTTAAACGCATCCTGTCTGTCGCTATGGGTACAGGAAAGCGCGAAAAGCGTGTTTCCATAAGTATTTTGCACTGGCAGAACCTCATCTGTTCTGAAAGCCGCTCTCGGAATGCAGCTACTAGAAACTCTTTTTGACCTTTTGACTTATTGCACTAACATCTCACACTTCTACTGCATCCTATTCTATCGATCGATTTGTCTCTACTCTCCAAAATCGCGCTTTAACCCGATTCTTTCATTGCGTCGCCTGATACGTAGCCGCCCCAAGGCGCACTTCTTTCCATGCCCCGCCTTTGGCTCCGCGCCACCTACCTTCGATTGTCCATAGAGTGTGGTTTTCGTAAGTTTGTTTCTCTTCGGAAACTGAATCTTCGTGCGTGAAACTTTGTATGTTGTCTCTAGTGATCACAACGGCATGTTGGGAAAGAATGCAAGAATTTTCTGGAGAATGCAAGAACTTCCCGGAGAAGATTCCTTTAATCCTATTGCATAAGACGCATACCCGTTATCCACCTCAGGCTCTAGATTACTTTTTATTTTCAAGTAAACATAAA